GATACAGCCAGGTTGCAAGTCAGGCTCTTGCTTAGAGAGCTGTCTTACTGCTGTGGATGAATTTCAGGTGATCAGGTTTGGTGCATCCTGCTCACGTGTGAACTGAGGCAGCTTTTAGAAGGAAAATTTATCAAAGTGATGTAAATGACTTGGTCTTGAGCAGAGGACACGAGTGATTTGTGCAGCGTCCTTTTAGCCTTGAGATTAAAGGGTTAACTCACTTTTAACAATAATTTCTGAAGCATTCCATGCTGCAGATTGTTGGGGGGCTTGGGGGAAGGGCATGGCTGGGGGTTAGTTTGGTTTTTACTTCTCCTTTTATTTAATTGTCTCCCTAATTATCTAGCATTGGTCGTGATGAGATGTCACAGCCTTGGCCAAGTGCTTCTGCAGTTGGAGGTGTGTCTTTTTCTGCCCCATCAGCTCTAGATAATTCAATCTGGGTTTTAAGGAAACCTCAACATCTTTATTTATTCACTTTTCTTAGCAGGGGCAGTAAAAATAATGGAAGTAGTTGAAATTGAGTTGATGTTGGTTGCAACTGGAAGCTGATATAAAGCCAGTTTGATACTGAGCCAGTATGGAAAGGTCAGGCACCAGCACTGCATTTGGCCCCATGACACTGAAACACTGAGCTTCAAATAAGCTGGAAATGGGGGGTTTTTTTTGAATTGTTTTCAGGAATACTTATGGTGGGTGGGGAACTGGTGGCCTCCTGCCCTGCTGTGGCTGATGCAGATCCAGTCCTGCTCCTGACACAGCCAGGTTTGCTCAGAAAGTGTCTCCTCTATTTCAAAAAATAATAATCCCACGTGTGTAAACTCTCCAAAGCCATTTGGAAAAGGCAAGTTTTGTAATAACAAACATATACATCCCTATATATAATCATTACGTTGATATTTGCAAGACTCTTACACATGGGATAGAGTAATATTTAATCTGTTAGGGGGGGAAAGGCACAAGTTTGCCAGGCAGATGTGGAATTAGGGGGGAAAGAAAGTTTCGTAATCTGCTTTGCTCTCCAAAAATACCCAGATTTCAGACCAAAAAATTTTATCTAGCATAAATGGAACTGCAGCATCTGGAAAGATGGATTTATTACTTGCTTCCCCAGATGCCAGGCTCTTTTCCAAAACATACTCGCCTTAAGAATATGCTCTAAATTTTAAATTATAGTAAAATGAAATGGTGTAGAGCAAAAAAAAAAACCCCCCAAAACCAAACCAAACTCATGAACCCTTTGAAAAACAATTTAAAAAACCAGCAAAACCCTAAATTTGACCTCCCAACCTCTTCTCTG